TGCATGGCCTTCTGGAGGACACGGGCATCCGCAGGCCTACCAGGGTCCAGGTAACAACTCAAATAAACCCATGTTGGATTATTCAGTCTAAACCAGTGGTTCTCAAACTTCTTGAATTCAAAGACACGCCATTGTCCACAACAATATTCGAAGGCCCCCTAGACCTATTCTTGTTTTCAGATGGGTTTTAATCTTTGGGACCTCCTAGTTTTTGTAAATTACAATTAAAATAAAAATAATTTAATTTAATAAATATTAGAAGCTGAACTGTTCTTCAGGGATCCCACTCTTTTTAAAGGCAGAGTAAGTGATTTCTGGTAGCCAATGTTGATATTTGAAAACACCAAAACAAACACGGCCCTACCCCAAAAGGGTCTTGCCCCTATTTTGATAGCTCTGCCCCACATATACGTACGCAACCCAGGCAACGATTCGTTCTGTGAAACAAAGCAAAACCAATGTTACACCGTGTCTACATCGGACGTGAGCGGCGCGGCGCAACAAATCCCGACAGAAAACTGCTGCCGGGTTCTATTTATGACGTGCTGACACAAATTTCAAATGGTTTTCAACGGTCGTTTGACCTCTTTCTCGCGTCCAGTGTAGGCAGACTTTAGTTGTTGTAGACACGGTGTTACTCACCTATTGAGAAGAAACAAAGCAACCTCGGCGTCCGATCGCAGGCCTCCGCTCCTTGAGTTCTCTCCAGCGCTGGAAAGCTGATCTGATATTTACACGGGTCCTACTTCTTGCCTTATCTTTCCGCAGACGTTTTCCTCTTTTGTTTTTTATCCGCCATCTCTATCTCTCTGTCGCTCGGCTCGGCTAATGTCCGTCCCATGCACTGAACGCGCTCTCCTCCACATCACGAGTAGACACGCCCCTTATTGCTGATTGGCTACAAGTTTGTTTTGCGATTCGGCCTGAATCAGTTTTCTAAAGTGTTTTTGAAAAATCACATACCCTGCCTTTAAGCATGCAAAATGTCTATGGACATTGCAACAGTTGTAATATGGTGTCACACTCTGTGGCATCTTTTTAAAAACAATTCAACATATAATACATATAAAATGTAAAAATATGCAGTCTGCTCCATTTTGGAAAATAAATTTATAACACAGTTTCACTGTTCTGTGGTTTATATGTAAACACATACATGGATATAATGATGCATGGAAAAGAAACTGTCAGATGAATCCGTGTATCATTCGATCATTCGTTTTTTGATTTAATATTGAAAGTAGAAAAATTAGAAAACGTCTCCTTTTTCGTTTTTTCCAAAAAACGAAAAACGAGAATTCAGCTTAAATTTTCGTTTTTCGTTCATGG